AGAGAGAGAGAGAGAGAGCGTCAGCCAGTTTCTGACGCCGAGTTTGGTGCACCAAACTTGGCGTCAGAAACTGGCTGACGCTCTCTCTCTCTCTCTCTCTCTCTCTCTCTCTCTCTCATCAAAACGAGAATGAATCTTCCGCGATGCACTCTCGTTTAGATGAGAGAGAGAGAGAGAGAGAGATCTGATTTCGTTTTGTTTTGTTTTTCTTTTTTGCAGAATGTTGTATGTTTTTTTTTTTTTTTTGTGTGTGTCCTACCGGTTGTCCGAGGCTCGGCAATAAAGTCCGAGGCTCGGGAATGACCGGGCTACCGGTAGCCTGAGCCACGGGCCTTGACAACTGCTAGGTACTGGTGGTTTAAACTACTACTACCTTTCACAGGGCAACGCGAAGTCGAAGTTGAGCCTCATCCGAAATCTTAGGGGGCTCCGGGCTACCGGACCACAAAGGCGGGCGGCACCAGCCAAAAGAAAAGACAAACGCTGCGCTGGTGCTTCGGAACCCATTGGAGCTCAGCGCGACTCTGCCTCGGCAAAAAGAGGCCTGGAGGTCGTGGTGGCTTAATCCTATTAATATGATAATAAAATGTTCACTGGCTATTCTTGTGCCTGGTAATTAGGATCGATAGGGACGCTCGACGACTTTTCCAGCACATACATTCACACCAGGGCACAAGGATGCTGGACCTCATTTCCAGCAGATACATTTTCATCATTTGTATAGGGACGTTTAAAAAAAAAAAAAAAAAAAAAAAAAAAAAAGATGATGATGCCTAGGCCGGTGGAATGCTTCTTCACACCGCTGCCAAACCACAATAAGAGCTCGCTTGATGAAGTGAGACCACAATTCACCCTCCCTGGGTACCTTCCCCAACCCCAACTCCCCCGGTCACCTCCCTCACCTGAAGAATCCGCCCGAGCTCCCTGGCCCTACGACCCCCATCAGACCCCCTTCCCCTCCCCCTCCCCTCCCGTATGCCTCCCCACCGCTCGACTCCCCACCTCCCCCACTTTGCCCTCTGTGCCTTCACTCCTTACCCCC